TAAGATTTCCCAACAACTAAAACATAAAATAAGATTATTATTTGATTTTCATGTGTACTGATGCATAAGAACGTTTGTTATCCCAGGATGACAGAAGGCCTAATTTCCATTGAAATAAAACAGTATAACTTACTAAATTTCTAAGAAAGGGAGATTAGGGAAGCGAGGGAAAATGAAAAATCTCTTATAAGGAAGAAGTTGGCGCTGGAACGTTCTCGATCACCCATGATAAGAGATTTTTCTTTGGCATAACGCTTATCAGCTCAAATAGACATTTTTGTTTCATTATTAACTAGTTACTGTAGTTCATAAAGAGAACAACATCAAGTGACTCAATCATCTTCTCTCAGCCTTTTCCAGAATCAACGTGCAACTGCTCCAGACATGCTTTCAGACCAACTTAATCGGTACAGGCGGGAATTCCTCTGTTCGAATGTATTCAACGCTTATGGTAGACTGGCGGGGCTCAAAAAGACATCGGGTAGTTTCTGGAGCCCAGATATTCTGATTACTATTCAGATACACTATTTCTTCTCCGGGTATTCACTCTTTCAGGGGCTGAGATAGGAATAGCATGATACTGTAAAATATTATAGCGAGAGAATACACTTCAAATATTACAACAAATGATACCTAACAGGATGTGAAGTACCTTTCATATTACAGTCGTGAGCCATCACTGCTGAGAGAAATTCCTCTTCTTTCTCTCTCTCTCTATTGAGTATTGAGAAAACTGATAATAATATTGAAAAGAATAAATCGAACAAAATCCTTGTCTCTCCTACTGAACGCAGAATTCGATCGAGTTGGAGTCTTCTGTAATCTTCATGGTGAAAGTGACTCAAAGTAAGGTCGTCTTATGGACGGGCTTTCACTCCTTGAGAACGTCATAAACTTTTCTATGACAAGTTATTCATGATAACAATTTATAATTACAATTTGTATCCTCATGCATGACTATGCCTCAAGGATTGTATCAGGCAGTATTGCCAGGAGGCTCTTCGAGGGTACAGGAAGAGTCCCTGAAAGAGTGAATACCGGGGAAATAATAAGTGTACCTGAAGAGTAATCAGAATACCTGGGCTCCAGAAACTACCCGATGTCTTTTTGAGCCCAGTCAGGCGCCTACCATAAGCGTTGAATACATTCGAATCCGAGCTTGTCTGGAGCAGCTACACGTTAATTCTGGGAGAAGCGGAGAGAAGATGGTTGATTAGCTCGGTGATCTCAGATCTCTCAAGAACGTCTCAGTTGTTGCTCTTTTCATGAACTACAGTAGCTGGGTGATGATGACGAAACATAAAATGTTATAACTTATCCTCAGTTTGTTCTCATCACCAGATTAACGTCACCAAGTGTATATTGAACAAGAGATCTCCGAACGCCTGTACGAGCTGATAAGGATTACGGTATTGAAAAAAAAAGAAAAAAATTCTTATCATGGGTGATCGAGAACGTTCCAGCGCCAACCCCTTCCTTATAAAAGATTTTTCATTTTCGCTCGTTTCCTCAATCCCCCTTTCTTGAAAATGTAGTAAGTTATACTGTTTTATTTCAATGGAAAAGAATTTCTATTTCTTTTCATAAATCTCCAACGAAATTACTTCTTAAGCTTTCAGTTCACCTCATTGCGCCAAATGTGCGATAAAACTCCCCATCTTTGACGAGATCTTCACTGATGAAGAAAGAGGATGGCCACTATGCGAAGAATGCGCAGATGAAGTGCATGTATACCAGGAACTTGCCCGTGAGAATCAGAGACAGATCCAAACCAGGGATCGCTTGAATTACGAAGCGGAGAAGAACAAGGAGTGTTATAGGTATTGAGAACTTTCGAATGTTAATGCTTCCAACTTTTTAATAGACGCTCAAACTACTAGGAGGAAACGAAGACAGCCAAACTAAGAACAAGAGAGAGAAGCAATCAAACAATCAATCGATGAGATACCCAGAGACATCAGAGGATGACATGAAAACAGCCAAACCTATCAAGCCACTTTCCACATATTCTTTTTGTATTTTTTTTGTAAACCATTCTCAGAAGGAATGAGATGAACAGAGATGAACACGACTACAACAACGCTAACTACTGCACATGAGGTTTCAGTGAGACAAAATAAATATTTCTTCTTCATGCGTGTAATTGAAAGTGACACCCATATTCGGTAAGAACATGTGAAAATCAGTTGAAAAAGTACAAAAATGAATGAACAGAGTTTGAGATAGATGAACATTGTATGATTACAGTAAAAGAGAAGTGAAGGTAAAAGGCGAAATGAGATCGAGAAATGAGACATCTCTGTTTATCTCATTCCTTCTGAGAATGGTTTACAAAAAGAATATGTGGAAAGTGGCTTGTGATAGGTTTGGCTGTTTTCATGTCATCCTCTGATGTCTCTGGGTATCTCATCGATTGATTGTTTGATTGCTTCTCTCTTACTCATGCTCTTATTCGTTCTTTTACTTCTGCCAGTTTCCGTTCTCTTCGTTTCATTTCTTACAGCGAATGGACGTAAGGTTCTTACGTGAACCTGTCCATGAGTACGATGAAGCTGTTGACCGATATAAGCCTTTCATAGTATCTCGGCGTTTTCTTTTTGCATTCGTTTTCCTTTTGATTTTGAATGCGTTCTTTGTTCTTTGGCTGTCGAATATATATTAATCACAGTATTACATCAGTAAAACAGGGAATATAATTCGAAAGAAAGGAAAAGCAACCGCTCTCGACTCTTCGTTCGACTTAAAATGAAATTTAAAACTCACGTAAAGACGTGAGACGTACTATGAATGGCTATGCTAATTCTATCAGCTGCTTATTCATATTTGACGTTATGAGTGAGCGTTTTACGTGAACAACGTGAAGGATTGACGTAAGTGAGTACTATCTCACGCTTGACGTCATTTCAATAGCAAAAACTGATAAAGCGGTTGCGAAACATTTTTTTTCAGAAAAAAATCAATTCAAATTTTATGTCAATTATGAATGATCGCAGCTCTTCATGTCAATTCAAGAAGATCAAAAAATTCCAAACAATTTGAAAGCAAATGGATGAGATTACGATGATGGAGAAGCTAAGGAACCTTGAGTAAAACAAAGAAAAAGAAAATAATCTGACGCTGCTGACTGGCAATTCGGAAATCCAAGAGAAGCTAAGGTAAGAAGAGACATAGGAGCATGAGTGAGAGATAAACAAACAGTTATCCCATTGGCTGCTTCCGTTCCGAGCTTCTCTTCCAAAAAAAAGTTTCAATTCTTCGAGATACACTGAGTAAGTAGTGATCAGGAGATTACACGGATTCCACAGTTTGAACTCTTCATTGTCTATCATTGGTCTTCATACTAAACTGCATTGTGATTTCTCTGGAACAGCTCTATGATGTTAACCTCACCCATTTTTTGTTCAATTGTTTCTCTGTATATCTTCGTTCTCGTGTTCATCTTGACAAGATTATTTAACGAATCTCAAGTTATATGGAAGTGAAGACAGGCATGAATATCTCCGAACTCAAGTAAAATGAGAAAACTGAAATGAATTGTATGATTTGATGAGAATTCAACGTTTCTCTTTCATTGAGAGGAACTTGCATAACTGAGGTTGTGAATGATCAGCTCACGTAGCCAATCGAATGAAAAAGGGCCTTCTGCTACAAACGGACATGGTTATTCACTAGAAACCTGGAGCTTGCAGTTATTCCATTGATGTTGATGTTTTAAATGAAGATGTCGCAGTATGAGACAACATTCGGCACCAATTCTCGTTCACGATTCTACATAAACGACGATATCATTTTCGAGAACTCCTCCTTCCATGGTTGACTCCACTGAGCAAGCAACGGAATCTCAGATGTTTCTTGGTGTTCGCCAAGAGTTTGAAAAAGGCAGAAAACCATATTGATTATACGTATGGTTAAGAGCATAGGTGAACCGTTTTACCGTAGTCATACAAGAGTTCAATACAGTTCTCGATCTAGTTAACCATCTAAGGTATCAGCTGACAGTCTTTCTAGTCAATCAACTATCGATCTCTCCCAACTCTGTTCATTCATGTTTGTACTCTTTCAATACATTTTCACATGTTCTTACCGAATATGGGAGGAGGCACATTCATATCCACGGATGAAAATTAAAAATTTATTTTGTTTTACTGAAATCCCATGCCAGCATCATAAGCCATTCCTGGTTTTCTCGTTTTTTTCAATTTGAAAGTTTGAAAGAGAGAGAAAGGGAACTCGCTAGTTCTACGTGTTGCTTTCACTGATTCCCAGCAGTTTTTTTTTCGAAAAAAAAACTAATAAGCTGCTGTTGTGAGAGATTAGCATCGCATGGAACACGGAGAGAGTTGACTACTTGCGAAAGGAATGAAAGAAAGAGAAAGCGAGTTGTTGCTGGCTGACAGTCACTACTGTGCTCATTATTCTGGCAAAACGAACTTGTGTGTCTGCTCTTCCCAACGTCATAATTAGTATTATTTGCATTAAGCTTCTAAAGAACTTCAAACTTTAGAGATCATATTAAGCTGTCCTCGCACTCTGTCTCCGTTCTGTTTCTTCCTTCTGTCGTCTTTCTCTCTCTTCATTCTTCTTCTTCCTCACATCTGCATAACCTTTTTTTCTCTTCTAACGTTATCGCCTGTAGCAGAGCATACCATCGAAGAGTTATGAATTTTGGATTGGAGGTGTTTTTAAACGTGTTCACATCAGTCGGATGTATTGTATTCTTCGTTCTTGGCATATTTGGTAATTGCATGATAATTGCTGTCGTCATCAAGAAGAAAGAATTACGACAGAAAGCAGGTATGTTGGATGTAGTGCATATCTCATAGATCATGTTATGCTAATGATATGTGTATGTGGTTTAAGGAATACTGTTAGCTATCACATCAGCTTCACATAATATATCATTGACATGTGAACTAGCCAATGCTTACTATTCCATCGTTGTTATATTTGTGGATGAAATCCCTAGAAGGATATGCTATATGATAATGTTTCCTTATATGTTCACATTCATGCATCAAGCTGGAATGTATTTTGTATCTGTTTTAGATTTACTTTTTGCAATCATATTTCCATTGTGGTATGTATAATCCTTCCACACAAACATATATATTACCATCTTCAGGTATCTACGGGTCAATATCAATCGGTACATCTTCTATATGACGTTGTTTCCAAACATCATTGGAGCTATCATGCTTGTAACTACTATCATAACCTATGAAGATGATCACATTCAACGATGTAATGCATATACAGGTGAGCATATGCACTTCTTCCGTTCAATCTCTTTCTCTTGCTATCCTCAACATACGATGTTATACGAAGATAGATGTTGTTGAGATATAGCTATGCAACCCATAAGTAGCATGTATAGCAATTACTTAAATGGCCTTGTTGACAGATTATAATATTGTAATTACAGTATTGGTGGAACCGTATGCAAAAGGAATCTTCCAAACTCTTTGTTTTCTCAACTTCGGCACTCTCATCCTATTCATTATCACATTGATACAGTTCAAGATACGAAGTAAGACAATTGAAACTATGTGGTAGATCATAAGATACATTTTTTATAAAGAATCGAAAACCAATTTGACTCAAGCAAGTCAAATACTTCGTCGTATAAGTGTCACAGCTTTGATTTTCACATTCTCATGGTTCATAGCCATATATGGAGCTAGCATGATAATGCAACTGCCGTTACCTCTCAGAGATCGCTATATAATCCAAGCGATTTGTGTAAGTGGTCGCTTTGTACTCAGCATTCTAGTACAACTTTTGCAGGTTGTACCAGCAGTTATCGCGTACTCATCAAACTTCTTAGCCTGCTGGTTCAGGTCTCAATCATATCGTCAAGCATTCCTAGAAATTCTAGGATTGCGTCGTATAAGGCACTATTCTGAAACAAGACACACAACACAACCCTCACAACTTAATAACACTTAAACCTCTTTCTGTAGTCAGTAGCACATTCAACATCAGTGCACGAACTGTCTAGATACAAATATGGATGAACGATGAACGATCAGAAATGATGGTTCATGATCTATCAGATGGCATATTCAATCAAATTGATAGTTGTAGCTCAAACTACCCAATATCTTATTCTATAATAGAAAACAGTATTTGTACAAAGTTGTAATGAAATCTTCTTTCATATGAAATATCATAAGTATCTGAGTGTCAGCTGATGGTGATAGTGATAGCGATGATTGCATTGAAAGATATGAAAGTAAATGAATCCAACTTCATTACATGAAAGTCATTCATGAAATCTGTTTTTCGGAGAACAACGTTGGTACAAACTTCAGAGCATTTCCATAATGCAATTTATACAAATTATTATTCTATTTACCACTTTCTCTCTCTCTCTACCTCATACACATGGAGCTTGCAGTTATCACGAAATTCGAGGAAAAAATAGGAGCAAATGAGTAAGAGAGAGAGAGAGAGAGAGGGAAAGAACAAGAAGGAAAAGTGAAAAACAACCGAAAAGCATGGTTGCTACAAGCCCAAATTAGAATTATCCATGAGAACCCCATTTCTCAGAATTCAACTGTTGAGACATCTCAGCTGAAGTTCTCATCGGTATATCCCGTTCGTTACAAAAGCAATTTTCTTCGAACTTTCTGTTGTTCGGCCATGTGAAGCTGAAATCACATTTGAAGTCCATAATCTACTGATTGAACTGTTTTCCATGCTGTTCTTGTTGTTAACATTTTTTGACCGAATGAGTAGGTATCCATGCTCTTTCTCAATCTCTCATTCTCTCTCTGTACTACTCTCTATAGCTCAACGACATCGTTTGGCTATAGTAGAAGAACTCATTTCATTGTAATGAGTATTGGATTTGTGAAGCGGATTGCCATTATGAGTTATTTGAATAATAAACGATTTCAACTTTTATTTTTTAGTTGCAAGGGAAAATACGTTTCATAACAAGTTGAACTGTCGATAGCTTGTGAGCTTTTTGAAATTGAAAAAGCTTATCAAGTGGAATGAATACAGAGCCGCTGTGCTTCTGATTGACTTTCTTCTGATTCCTGACGTAATATCGTTTTGTTAAATATAAAATGAGTGACATCGCTGAAGCATACAACGGCGTCCAGGCAACGTATTCAGCAAATATAGCAAAGGTAGCCAATTCCTCAGGTGGTGTTACCTAAGTGCTGAATGATGCATCCAGAAGAGATAGAATGCTTACCATGCTATACACAGAGAATGATCCCATGTAGACGATGGTTATAATGAAATGACAATAATAGACAGGAAGAAAGAATAAGCCCATTTTCATATTTTCAGATTTCTGATAGTTGACAGCTAGATCATTGTGATAACGTTCAAGAGCATGTTGGCGATTGCGTATAAGGACGAAATGGAATATGACTATTGAAATGACCTCATAGCTTAGCATGACGATGATGAGAACCTTCAAGAATAGATTAGATGAAGCTTTACCACTTGATGAACATACTTTATATTCTAATTGATTATCTTCTGTTATGATAGAGAAGGCAATGCTGGGTTCATCCCAGTCAATTGGATATTTAACTATGCCATATATTATTGGAATTTCTAGTATAAGCTGTAAATGGAAGAATCAGATTTGGTTAAAGGTGATGTATGGATTAACTGCAATAGCAATCAATGATAATCCTAGAGTGTTCGTCTGAATTTTCTCATAATAGGCTGGAAAGAGAGAAGCTATCAGACGTTCTGTTGACATAGCCAGGAATATGTTAACCTGCAATGATATAGGTTAGAATTGACGTTGGAATAGTTAAGTCTATGTTTAAGACTTTTCAAGTTCTAATTACCAGGCTCACTTCAAAGCATATACCGAACACGAGGGTGATGAATGAAAGACGTGTTGATATGAGAGCATCGCAATACTTTGTTGAAGTCAAAAATCTGAATTATGCAGCTTGAATACAAAGTCAAGGAAGTATATGTGAATGAGTGAAAGAGAGATAAAGATAGAGAGAGAGAGAGATTGGTGTGAAGGTCAGCTTACCTATAACTATCAACGGAATACATAATTGAATATTGAAAGCAAATTAAAAATGAAAAAATCAGAACGGCTATATATAAGACACGAGCATTAGGATGTACGACCCAACGAGTTCCCTGCAACAACATCATATACTATATGATATAGTTAACATACCAAATATTTAACATTCAGTATCATAGCTATTAATCCAACAAAACAAATAATCATTTTAATAACGAATAAGGCAATTGTAACCTTGCTCTTAACCACCAAATCCAGTTGCTCACAATAGAAGTTGTGAGACATAGCTGAAGCTTAGCTTGTAACCTCAAGCTATGAAGATGAAGAAGACGAAGAAGAAGCTTATCTAGAATATAAAAAAAGAATCTTTGTTATGATAGGTTGATTGTAGTGAAAAAGGATTCATTCATCTCATCGAGAAGTCTCATTGAGATAGCATTGAACAGAGAGAAAGAGAAACAGTAGCTCTTGAGAAACAAATCAAAAATCGAAAATGAAACTGATGTATTGGATGTGCATATGTGCGTGATGGAAGAGCATATGATAAGATGTCTATAGAGTTCATATATCATCTAGTAATACATCTCAAAGACTCCTGGTACTCACTAACTTAGATGAAGGCATATGGTATACGTTGATAGTAGAGGATAGGAGCCTTGTACACAACTTTTGCTTTTCTGTCAACGAATACCAAAGTTCTCTCACTTTCATTGGTATTTATGCTATTCACTATATGATTTTTGGAACTTCTTTAGTACAAAACATCTGATTTAATAGAAAATGAACGAAAAAATTATATTTTATCCATTAGCAACGCTCTTTTACATGGATGAAAACAAACAAAATCAAAGGATTAGATGGAAAAATACTATTTCAGATATCTTCAAGCTTATACTTTCCATTCCCCCGGCCTTTCTCTCTCTCTCTCACTACCTCTCTCTCTATCTATCCCTCCCCCACTCATTCACTCTCACCTTCTCTTTCTCCCAATCCACCTTCTTTCCTTCAACTCTCATTCCCTTCTCCTCACTCTCTTCACTGTCTCTCGCTCTAATCATATGTAGGACTCGATATCATACCTCTACTCCTCCCTCTCTCACCTTGTATGTTGAAAAAAACTTTTTTCTTGTCTCTCAATTATAAAAATATTATAAATGAAAATGGAAGGTTGCGAACGTACAATTGAACGAAAAAGCATTTCACGTTCGGTGCTTGTTGGGTTCTCACTCGAGTTCCATCTTTGATTCAATCAAAACGCCACATCAACTCACATACCGATAACTCATAAGCTGAATGACATTATAGGAAAGAAGGAAGTATTAGGACACAACACACATCATAACTGTTATGATTCTCTAGATGAAGTTCGCAGAAGATGACTGTGAATGAAATGAAATGGAAGGCTCTCAAACAGCCTGAAGAGTATATGGGATTGGAGACAGAAGACACACGCACACACGGCATATTTCAAAATATTGTTTTTATTATACATATAACAAATTGTTATAACATGGAATGGTTATTTTATAATGTCACAAATGTCAGGAACAATAATCCGAAAGAGATTAAGATGTGCGTTGAGGATGACGTCAGGTTATTTAAATTATTATTTAGATTCATATTGACATCATCATTGGATGTTGAAGCTGATGCTGAAGATGATGCTAAGGATGATACATTAGCTTTAGGCGAACTTCGTGATTGACGACGAAGTCTGAATGATGTACGTAATGATATTGGAGGACTTGTATCATTCAGAATATCTTCATCATCCATCACATCATCAGCTAGACGTCGTTCTGATGATAGTTCACGACGTGATAGAACACTGTGCTCATATCGACGATTACGATCATGTGTGCATGTAGATTGTTCACAATCAGCACAAATATGCAAATTACAGAATATGTTCACTTCGTTACTAAAAAGAAAAATAAATGGGAAAAGCTTCAAATCAAATGATTTGAATGAGTAACTTACCTTGTTGGAAACGCCCATGCTTTGATGTGGTTCATAAATAATGTGCCGCTTTCATCTCTTGAAACATCGAAATCACCCCAGACCTAAGATCATGCATTTATTCGACATTCATTCTAAACTACATACTTCTCCTGACTTCTGTACGCTACAGCCATCAGTAGAACTGAGCTCTAATTCGCTTTTACCGTCACTTGCCCAGCATCTTCCTATTCGCCCTCTCACGCCTGACGTTAAGTGAACTGTGTATGTCTGAATAGTTGAATAAGATCTCCTGCATTCAACAAGTTAGGAATACCACTCTATCACCAACAGCCAAAGGTCGATTCAGAGGTGGAGAGTTGAAATCATCACCATCGCGAACTACTACTTGATAATCAATCTGAGTAACAGTTATCTAAGAGGCTTAGAAGATGATCTCAAACCTTAGGACTACTAATCAGGGTTGCAGCAGTAGAAGAGGAAGTATCAACCGTTATTCCTCCGAAAGACACAGTAACTTGAGAATCTCTGTAACATATGAAGTATAACCAATAGTAAGATATTCCATTTACCTAAAGATGGGATTGGCAGGTATACATGTAAGCAGATAACGTTTATCAATAGCCGAATTGAAAGAATTCGTTGATTGAACGACAATTTCATTTTCTAAGTTTCCTTCACCATTACGCCTTGTTTCACAGCCAGTTAATGGAATCTATAATAACATATACGATGTTGAGAGTTATATTCTAATTGAAGCTTGAATAACCTTAACATCATAGCTGACAGCTTGCTGTATACTAGCATTGAGATAAACACAATTAGGTTCACCTTTCTCCGTAAAAATTGTTCCGGAAAATGTCTCATTGAATTGAATTTTGAGTAAAAAATCGGTCTGCAATCAAAGATTATTCATAATTTATGTGATGAAAGATCAATAGCCATGCCCGATGAAGTTAAATGTTAAAAATAAGATTTTTCAATCATAGTTTACATAAAAATAATATTAAAATTACTATTTCTATTTCCTTTCAAATAATAAATTGTTTATTTCGTTCATGGCGTTCAATTCATAAGACAGTGTATGTGCTATTCAATTTCATTCCGTTTCTCGTATAATGCCAGTGAGCGGTTGTGCATGAAGTTTCATTCCGTTTTTCGTATATTGATAGTGAACGGTTGTGCATGAAGTTTCATTCTGTTTCTCGTATATTGCTAGTGAGCGGTTGTGCATGAAAATTTTGTTCCGTCTATTCAAGGTACTCTCTATTATAGGTGTCATTACAGATTATCGATAGAGACCATTCGGCAAGCTTTCATTTCATGACTTCTTGCTGTGAGCTCATTCTGTAATATTCCCTTTCAACCTTCATTCCTCTCTCTCTCTTTCTCTTTCTCTCTCACTCACTTTATGCTCTCTCTAATCTATTTCTTTCTTATTCTCGGTATTGACGAGGGCAAAATTATAAAAATAGGGCATCGATGGCAAATGAATAGACTTCTGTACCTATAAATTACAACCCGGCCAATGGTGACCTATGTAGAAGTAGAATGAAAAAAAAAGTTATTCACATGTGTCATGTGTCTGCATGAGCGTTACAAACACATTACAGCTGGAAAGCGGAAATGGAGATGTTCAAAAGCGCCAAAAACGAAATATTTTCTTTTTGAGAAAACTTTCGAAGAGTTTAGTGGCAGTAAAATGGAATAGCCAAGGTCAATGAAGGACCTGCCATTTGACGAGAAAGGTAAGAAACCCTAATACGGATTAACAGAAGCAAAATATACGATAACGATAAATCTAACTAGTTGGAGAAGGAATTGCTTTTTCTCAATTTGAAGGTCTCTCTCTCTCTCTCACACACACACACAAGCACACACACGGATACATGTACATGCAACACAAGTTTGAGGAAAACAAACATTTCGTTTGTACGACAACGTTAGCTTATAGGGATAAGCATGCTGATAGTGAGGTGTGAAAATTCATTTATACAACTTACTTTATCACATGAAATTGCGGTATGGACTATGGAAGGAAGGCAAGTACAGATATCTATGAGGAACAAAGTGAAAATCCATGTTTTCACATACATCTGAAAATACACTGTTTAGCAGAAGTTCCGCAACAACATGCTGTTGCAATGAGATAACAGAGAAGAGAGCAGATATACAATCAGACGATGAAGCTGAGGAAAGACAAACATTCAAAATAGTTTTTGTCGACAGTTTTTGCAGAAGTCGTCGTCGTCTTCGTAGCAAAGGTAATGCTGTGTAAGGAATAGGCTAGCAACTGTATTGACGATATTACCCTCAGCTAGCATTCTTTGATGGTCGGCTGTATCTTCAACAGTAGCATTCTTTCTTTCTCATTGGCCCTCTCATTCCTCCTCTTTCTCTCTCTCTTTCTTTCTCTCTTTCCTTCTCCCTCTCTCTCTATCTCTCATATGGCTTCTTTTCAAACAAATTTTTTTTCTTCTTCAGTCTAGAGAAATAGGATATATTATAATGAGAGGTAAAAATGAAAGAATAAAATAAAGCATTAAGAACGCGTGAGGTGACGGAGACAGACATCGTCCGGTTACTGTACGCCCAGTCGACACAGGTTAATAAGGCAAGATGGAAATGAATAGCATGGAAGTTGAGTAGTGAGGACAGAGACATTCATAGAACTCAAAACTAATAACTAGTCTTAGCAATATGTCTAAAGAAATCGTAGAGAATATATACAAAAAAGGAGTTCAAATGATGTTTTTGATGAAGATAATGAACGCCTGAAGAGACTGTCTGCCGTTGCAGATCATAACTACTCGAGATTATAGTGGATGAGTGGCGAAACAAAGAAAAAAAAAGAAATTACAGTTGAATGATAGAGAGAGAGAGAGAGAGTGAGAGAGAATAGCAATACAAGAAGCATGCCAATGGCAACATCATCTTCACGTTATGTATGTACTAGGCTGTAATTAACAAGTAATTTTAGACAGCACTTTCATCTATTTACATCTTGACAAGCTTGTACAGCCAATTAGGACTGTCAACAATACGATTCCTTTGAATGACACGAAGACAATCTTTCTTCTGTCTTGCTATTGCCTACAGGGACTTTGATGTTTCTGTAGCCAATAGCAAATGCAATGGAATGAATGCAAAGTCTTTCTATAGATCTTCTGAAGTTCAATAATGAATATGTGGCTTTAGAAAAATTGTAGATCAAATAGGATATAAACGGCTTATAAGGTGAGAAGAGGTAAAGATGAGAAGCTGAAAGTGAGTCGAAGCGGAAATGGAGAAAGGATTTAAGATGACGCCTGCTGAATACCATTAAAATGGGATCGTCGGTGAAAAGAAGCAGGGGCGTCACAACATTACATACCTAAGAAGATGAAGTAAGGACGTCGACGTTCTTTTCTTCAGGTATGCTAACTAGTTCTATTTGGATGGCTATATGACAGCTACACTAGAGAGTATCAAACGAGGGGGAAAAGAGTGAAAATGAAGTGAAGGTGAAATGAAGCTAGCGAAAGATGAAGAAGGCATGAAGTTTCAAAAAATTTTGATGTTGAGAAGTACATTGAAAGCGTTAAAAATGAAAGTTGTTCACAGAAGAGAGAGAACGGAGAGAAAAGCATTAAGAGAGAGAGAGGAAGAGAGAGAAACGAAGGAATGAAAAAGTTGTCCACAACGTCAAAATGACAACTCCGCTAGCAAGTTAACACAAACTTCTGACATCTTTGAAAATTGGTCTCCAATTATACCTTTCAATCTCAATGAATCCAGTGAACGTAAGAGTTGCAACTATCTTAAATGCTTCAATTGGCTAATGAAGCAACTGTTCAACCAGTAACATAGTGTTCGTGTCCAGATTACTAGCCATTGACTGATCTAGAAGGCTTTCTCCAGAATATTGTGGAACCAATCTCAGTATATCTCATTCGATAGATAATAAACCTGTAATATAGAACTGAAGTGGGCTAACGGAAAGCACCGAGTAGAGGTACAGACTTCATACTCTCTGTTATTCTACTGCCACAGCTTGTTTTTCCCATTGAGGTACATGAAAACTAAAACTAGCCCTTATTATCAGACATGGCAAATTGCTTCCAACGGGATACGCAAAGTAAGAAGGTTTGACTCTCTCTCTCTTCCATTCCAAAGATGTTATACAAGCCATCTAGGTATCTCAACTTCGGTAACACTAGTGAGTTGCTATGTCTTTAAGGTGTTCGTTCTATGATCAAAGCTTCATCCAACAAAATGAAAAAACAAACAAGAAAATAATATTATTCTAATAATTCATCTTTTATCATCTAAGCGACTGAGGATGATCGACTAGTTACTCCATATGTAAGATTTGTCCCACGATTCTGCCACATTGGGTAATGACCTTTATTTCTCCCATAGTCACTGAGATTGTGCATGTTGGGATTTCTTCACTGAAAAGTAAATTTCATAACAACGATCATAACTAGAGTAAGCATACGGGCATAGTTGGATTCTTTTGTTGATAGAATCATGACCCATCTCTTCCAGGCATTGAATCAAACTGTCAGACGTTCGGAGCTAATAAGTGTCTAATAGAGGGAAGGATTGTATGCAAACTCTTACCTCTGCCAATAGTCCGGGAATTTGAAGAAGTTGTAAAAGCAGAAGACTAACAAGAACAGCGGTTTTCATATTGACGAATACTTTCACAAACTGTTCATTCTTTTCATAGGCTTCCTTATATATCTTCATCAGTTAGTCATCTTCTCGTACGCGCATCAGACATCGAATGAATGGTAATGTGTTACAGTCATTCGAACCTTTTGTAAAACTCTTTTTGTTCATCTTCATCCCTGCTCATACGTCATTTCTTGGAATTCAAAACCGTTGTCATGATGAATTTCTCATGCATCATCCTTTGCACGAGGCTTTCATTCAAATTTACGAAAATGACTCTCAAAACGCTTTCAGTACAACTTTTGATTAAGCATGAGACTCATATGTGATTGAAGAATACATTTCAACCTGAAACAAACTAGATGAACAAATGATGAAAGTATTGAAAACAATATTCACCAACTCAATCATTTCTAAACTGCTCTGTTCCATTCCTGAGTGTTGAACGTTCGTCCTTATGACACTATGCTATGTAGAACGAATTGAGTATGAAGTTGTCTTCAAGTAACAGCGTCGTTCCCTCTTTTCAATTGTGGGTGAGTTAGATCAGTTTTTCTTCATTTTCCTCTTTTCATCTATCTTTCTTTACATTTTCTCCCTTCTAGGATAACAGTCATTGACTGCAGTACTGAAACATGCTCCAATGCTAACTCTTGTTCTGTCCTTATTACTTATGCTCTGAAATTAAAGAATGAGGGGTTTGAGACAAGGCTTCCAACTAATCACAAGAAGCTTCTCGAATAGGATAACTCCTAACCAGGTAGAAACGAATTCCATTTTAACATATTTTACCTTCACTTACTTGCAGTTTGGAAGTTTGTCTGAAAGTGACATCCCTCTGGAGAAAGTGGTCAACCCTCGAAAAGAAGAAGCCCTAGATGAAATAAAAAGAAAACCCAAAACAAAAAAAGTTATTTCCATTCCGTTAACAGGGACGTCTAAAAAGAAGTTGGCGAGGATTGCCAAAGAGCAAGAACATGATGGCAAGAGAACAACGACCCAATACCTCATTGGTTTGAATAGCTTTGTTTTTCATTTATACACAAAACCTCCTTTAGAATGTTCCAACAAGGAGTTCAACCAAGAAATTGATGCTTTCGTCCCTCGAGGTTCTTGGGTGAAGCTCTGCTCCGAATTCTGGGCGAAGAATAAATACAAAAATCAGTGGTTCACGATTCGTCGGCAATGTAAAGTCAGAAATTCATACTAACAAACTATATTCTAAGCAACTACTTCAGGGAATGCCATCAACTTCCACTGATACAATCAATTGGGATGAATTTGTTCCGAACAAGTTAGCAAAAGAAGTATTAGAAGCATTGAAAAGGATGAACATTCATCACCCGTATGGTGTTCAGGTGTGTCTTCTAACTGTTTCACTACCATGTATCTCAACTTCTGTAGGCTCAATGTCTTCATAGTTTTCAATCCAAGAATCATTTGTTCGTTGCTGCTGAGACAGGATCTGGAAAAACGCTCGCTTTCGCTCTACCTCTCGTTAGTTGGATAATACAGAATCAGAAAAGAGATAAAATGGAAAAAGGTTTGCTCATCCATCGATGAAACAGTAGCTTCAGAGTATTTCAGCGGTTGTTATGGTAGCTACTGGAAGCTTGAAGACACAAGTTCATTCTGTCTTCAAAGAACTCACACTATCTACAAATGTAAAAGTAAAGATGTGTGAGAGAGGAGATAATACTACTGAGGATTGGGATATTCTGATAGGAACTCCAGGACTTATTGAAGGCAGTTTGAAGAATTTGAAAGATCCATCTTCGGTCAAACAAGTGAGACTATGCACTCTTGAATTTCATATTGAACGTTATTTAGATAGTTCTTGATGAGGCTGATATGTTACTCGATGAAGGCTTTACGGACGTTTTGACCGAAATTTTTTCAATCGTTCCAGTAGCCCATTCAGAAACGAATCTAACCCCTAGTCGAGAAGAAGGTTTCTTAGTTTCTGATTCTTTTGCTCACTGCAAGTTTAGGAGCTCGACTCATATTTTGCTCAGCGTCTTGTCCCGAAGAACTTGAGTGTATCACAGAGGGTGTAGTTGAAAGAGCATCTTTGAGCTATATAAAAAGCGAAAACCTTCATGAACTTTCAACAAATATTGAAATGAAGTTTATAAGGTAAGCTGAGATGCTTTAAGTTTTCATATTACGGGAAGATACTTTGCAGATTGAGAGAGAAAGATAAGCTTGAATGTTTAGCTCAAATTTTGGAAGCCGATGTGAAAAGAGGAGATCATAACCAGAGTCTTGTTTTCTGTAAAGTAAAAGAACTTATTAGCTCTATATATTCATGAATATTTGAAGGATAGAAAGACAGCTAAGTTCGTACATGAGTCTCTGGAGAACTCTAAGATCGGGAACTCGTTGTGGTCTTCAGACTCATCGGGCTCTGTCATTGAAGCACAACGTGTTTTCGTTGCTACCGACATTGCATCTCGGTCCGTCTTATTATGTTTGAGTTATAAAGACAATTCATTTACAGAGGTTTAGACTTGCCTCGTCTACGTCATGTGATAAACTATGACATGGCAAGACATACTGTGGATTTCTTGCACAGGTAAGCCGAGTCTTATTTGACTCTAGTGGACTCATCCATACACCTTCAGGATAGGAAGAGTTGGTAGACTTGGCTCAAAATTTCTGGGCTCGGTCACTTCATTCGTTCGAACTCCATACGAAGTTGAAATGACGAAGAAGATAGAGGTGAGTACATTGGTAAAATTATCATGAGAGCTTTTCGTAGTTGGCCGCACGCTTACGGAAGCCTTTACGAGACATAGAGACCGACGTCACAGCAAGATTGAAGGAGCGAAAAACAGAAGATGAGGAATAAAAGTTTTTATTATTTTTAATAAATATGATAAGAAGGAACCAAAATGTGTTGTAATATGCTAGAAAACCACAGAATAGAAAGAATGATGTGACTATAATAGGAAATTACTTTTTGGCGAATGAATATTGTTGGGAATTCTCAAAACATGGATTTTCTTTTCCATATATATACACCACAGACATATGATAGATCCCATTCACAGAATAAATTAGTAAAAATCTGTAAAAATTTCGATGATTAATGGCAAGATGGAAGTATGAGAAGGGAAAAGGCACAGACACCAAGGATTCACAGAAGAAAGATTTGTCATTTACCAAATGGTTTTACTGGTTCAGGATGTCCCAAGCATCATCATCCCAATCCTTCTTGGGACCTTCTTTCTTTGCCTCTGCTGCTTTGGCTTTCACAGCGCGTGATTTGCTAACTGAAGCTTCAAATTGGGCGATTGTCGATGAATCTAAATAATTTCATTAAATAGGATGTTCCAACATTATCGAACCATCCGGAGAGTTGAGATCAATTAATGTGTTGGGAGATGAAGCAGTTGGTGATGGCTCAGGTTTAGGTTGCTTCTTCTTCTTCGGAGCTTGTCTTGGCTCTGCAAATTAGCAAGTATCAAATGTAACTCATCATATTCAAAAACCTTCAGGTGGAAAGATATCGTTAGTTGTAGCCTCCTTAGGAGCAAAACTGCCCCAGTCGTCACCGAAGTTAGTTCCGGACTTGGAGCCGAAACCATCCGATTGGCCTCCGCCTGGGCTGTTCATGTCTTCGTATCCACTGAAAAATTGACACTATAATAGAGACAGGTCCGGCAACCTCACCCCTTAATCAATATATTTCCAATTCCTTGTAAAGAAGGAGATTTCACGAAATCAGAGAATCCACCCCATGATTTGGTTCCGATTTCGGAAGCTTTAGAAGCGACACCGGATAACAAACCTCCTCCGTTTTGAGACTAGAATGAAGAAGATACAAGAAGAAGTAAAACACTCAATACCATGTTTCCAGTGATTTCAGTGGCCTTCTGAGAAGCTTGAAGACTCACATCTTTCGCCAGAGCTGCTGCTTGAGAAGCTCCTTTAGACAGCATGTTCCAACCCTGAACCGCCGAATAAGTTTGGGTTGTTGGCTGATTTCCTTACCATGGATAATGAGCTCATCGCTCCTGATAGTAAATCATCAGATTGATTTCCTTGAGGGAGGTCTTGTGTGTTTCCGAAACCTTGATACTTGTTATCACTGGTAATCATAATCATATAAAAATGTTTACACCATAAGCTTACCTGTAATTACCACTCGAACTGTTGTATCCACCGTCGCCATAGGATCCAGAATTGCCTCCATAATAAGACGATAAACTACTGCTCGATGTTCCTTGCTGAATGACCAAATAAGTTCGATTCTCTAATGAGTCGCACCTGTTTAGGCTTGGATTGCGAAGAACTGGTACTTCCGAAGGTGCTTGGAGTATAATTTCGTGCTGAAGAGGTCGAAATAGACCATGTCTTACCTTCAGCTTCTGTATTTACCTGAATCAGAAAGTTCAACTTATTCATACACAGAAACAGCTACCTTATCTCTAAATAAAGCTGCTGCGCGAGAATTATATTTGTCTTGAAGAGACCAACTAGGATTATAGTCTGCTTGGGCTTCTAAGAAATCCCGGAATCTTAAAGCTCAAAATAAACAAAACGGTTGAATGTCGCAACTGACTTGGCGTTTCCCCCCGCTTTCATTTTCTCTAACTCAATATCCTTCCATTTATCCATAGTGACTGATCGTACAAAACTATAACAGCTTGTATATCTTTTTCAATGTTTCGAATACCTTAAATGTACTCCAAGTCCTCGATGCAGTCCCGAACATTCTAAACAAATCCATATTCCGTAGGAGACGGACACCCATTGTGGGTTGTTGGCCCCGCATTCGAAACAGAACTACATAGTGGCATAATTGAAGTGTAACTAAGATTGATAATAAATAACTTACGTTGTTCTCATCGACCGGTCTCAATCCCTTCAAAACTCTTCTGGTCCGGGGACTGGCCATCTGAAAACAGAGGAGTATGAAACAAAAATCGATTTCATTCCGAAGCAGAGAATATGAACGTTTCCATTTTAAAAAATAACAAAAAATAAATGAATGGACGCAGCTTAGTATGGATATTCCAGAGAAATCGATGATGCTTCCAAGTGTAAACAACAACTATCCAAGACATTATGATGATTATAAACAATATAATTATGTATTCTATATGATATGGGAGCGAATATCCATCCATACAGGCTTAACAGGTGAAAAGCTGCAAGAGGCAAAAGCCAAGTTGTCTTGTATGCCTACACGCCATACTGCGTACGCTGTTTGCACTTTGCGTACATAACAGTTGGCACTCATTGACGATACCATTAAACATGCAGTTTCTTCCAAATTAAGCTCTTTACCCTTTCTTTCTTATTATTATTGTTTTTTAAAAAAAGGAGTTGAAGAAACTATAAATTAGTCTTTATTCCCAAAAACACGGCTGCAGTGTTCGCAAAAGGAAAACACGTCATTCTCGAAAAAAATTGTAAAATTAATTCAAGTTTTTTTTATTTCAATACATATATGGAAAGAATTTAGCGAAAAAAGATTTATTTATGGAAAAAAAATAAACAAAATAGCACGTCTCACCTACTTGACTCACAGAAACAGTGAGAGACTCAGATAACCAAAGACAGCAAAATAGAATGCAACCACTTTGCGCGTGTCAGCTGAAGAAATATGAAATAAGATGCCCGTAAGGAAAAAATTTGCATAAATTACGCGAAGACCACGTGAATGACGGAGAATATGAAAAAAAAAATTAAATTCTTAATGATCTTTCAGTCTCAGTTCAGATGTGTTCAAATGTACCTGCATCATATTCCACATTCGATAAGTGTCCATATGTTTGTGCTCATAATTCATTCTCCGAGCTTCTATGTGTCAGTTGATAATTTGTGAGCCAGTTAATAAATAAGTTTAGTGACACCATATATGCTGCTATCATTTTGTAGCACATATGCTTTTGTTAAAACAACAAGATCTTTAACCTAAGGAGAGTGAGGAATGTCCGAATGGCTATTGGTTTTTCAGTGAGAGAGGGAGAGAGTGTTGTGCAATGTGTTAAGTTTGCGTTTTCGATCCGAATTCGTAGTATTTATTTATTATTTGCTAAGTGCAGCTATATTTTTGCTCTACGGACACCTGGCAAACTAACAATTAAGTTAGTTTCTTCTGCTGACAATTTATTCTACATGTATCTCCCTCAACGTAGTACTCATTCTCCACGCGTCCTAGTGAATTAGGTTTTTCTTTGTAAGAAACATAGAGAGAGAAAGAGTGTTAGCTTCCCTACATTACCTATTTGGAGTTCTGACACAAGGTTCTAGAGACAACCAGAACTCGACCAAATCCTGATTTTTTGGCCTCTCCGACCACTGTCTCTGACCACAGCGTCAGAAAAGCCGGTTGCAAGAACTACAAGGCGGAAACCTTTCACACAGCAGTCTGCCCGCGCTCCTAAAGGACAAAGAAAAGGTAACTTTGATTATGATTCTGTTCTCCGTAGGTGGGGAATGTAGAAGCAGATGTCTTCTATAGCAATTTCTCTCTATTTTTGTTTTTGTTCTCTCTATCATTCTAATCATTCCGCGGCACCCTCACCCTCTCCATCTTACGTGTAAAGATTTTCTAATATTACGTGTTCATGATTTAGTTTCTTTTCTCAACTCACACGCAACACAATAAACACCGTCTCTTCCCAACAAGTCGGCGGAATTCTCCATCATCGTTTCGAACTAAATTTATGTATTTTCCTAATTAAGATGTAGGCTAATTATATGTTTTCGTCCAAAGTAACGTAGATGCGTGTGTTATTTCATCATTATCAAACCATTCGGACTGACTAACGGTCTTTACACTTTCGACTCCTAGACTTCCTGGTCCTTTCCTCAAAACAAAATAGTTTCCTTTCATTCCTGAAGCTGTAGTCTCTTGATCATACTATTATCCGAATATCTCAAAACTGTCACACGTCCTATTACAGTATAATTGACGATTTCTCTCATTGAGAAATACTTGGCTCCTCGACGAAAAAATCTTCGAGCGTGTTTCTTCTGTAGAGGACCGCACGCGCCACCAGCATGCAGAGAGTCTTCTACTATTCGTGATTAGAAAGCGTTTGTTATATATTCCTAAAACATATCCTTCTGTTCCAATCCCATATCCATCGGCTGCACTCCATCTAAATGTCGGCGCCATTTTTACTTCTGTTTCTCCGTGTTTAAAATAGGTCAATCGATTGATGAAATCTCATCTCTGTACTTCTATTTTAATCAGCTGTTTCAAGATAACCACACATAGTATAAACTTATATTAGGATTTTTTTGTAATTGCTTCATCTTTAGACGTACTTCTAATACGTAAAAGCATTTAAATTCATTACATATTTCCAGACGAAGAAATGCTGATTACACTCACCTTCTGTCTCTGGTTTGGGATCAATGTACATGCAGGTACGTAAGTATGCCACCATTGTTTTGCAACCGACAAAAGAGTAGACGCTTCAAGCTGGGTAGATCACATTTTGATCTATTTTCAACTGAACTCATGTGTTAACCAAATTAAAAGGATAATCTGTTGTTTTTCGCAGCAGGATGTGAAGCAATATGTTGCTATCTTGACAAGCTTAGCATCTTAGTCGAAGGATGCTGATAACGTTGTGGCTACAAAGAGACAAGTGCTGTATAGAAGACGTTCGCAACTGTTGAACCGTTCTGTTGGGAAGCCTATGATTTCTGTATTCATGGGCAATGCTACAATCATGTTCTTCATCCAAAGATAAGCAGTAAAAAGTTTTATGCTTGCATGTGATATGAAATACTTCAAACATCTCCATTCACTTTTTTTTACTGTGAAGTACAAGTTGATACACCGAAACCCATCGTAAACAAGTTTACTTATCCTTTCGAGACAAAAAAATCTTAGAATTAAAAACTGACAAAATCGACACGAGTCGAAAATGTTGGATCGGATGCCCAAATGTAATATTAATATTTCAGACGATAACACCAGCTCGACCATTGCGAACGATGAGAATTTTCTGAATAGCACTCGTCTCCATGTGGCTACAGGGTTATCAACGCCCTTCGACGAGCATGCAGAGCTTGCCAAGATAGCCACATCTTGCTTTAGCTCCAGCAATTTCGAGCAGCTAGCAGGCTACATCGTTCGTGGTACCGTAGCGCGAATACTTGGCAATGTATTGATCCGAGAAAGTGTAGTGATTATAGGTCTCACAGAGTTACGTGCGACATTGAATTTAACGCCACTGCCTCCGTGGCAACACTTTAACGACACGGATCCCAGTGACAGCGATCTTGCATCCGCACCAACCATTCAGGCATATTACGAACTCAAAGAACCGCGCTCTGTAATGAGAAGCCTGGATAGCGACTATTTGTACGAGGCAAATTTGAATGCTTCGATATCGTACTTAGATAAGCGCTTTCCATCAATTCGCAAAATTTTCAGACGCAGGTTTGAAGAAACTCGTCAATCACGTGTACGAGTGTTAGATAGAAAAGCTATAGATCGAATGATTGACGAATTTTCGAAGGTTCATGAAAAAGTAAGCAGAGCAGTGTGGCTAATGACACCTAAGAGAGACAATAAATGTTGGGATGCAGTCGATTAGATGTAATGTACCCTGTTTACTTCTAATTAATTTTTATGTCATGGAAGGGAGAGGTCCTGATCTCCTAATTCATTCTGTATTGTGTCTAAATATTGAATAAACCGATTCCCAATTCTTGTCTACTTGCATTGTTTTATATTGTTCAGAGCAAAATTCGTTTCTATTGTTTGGGCATTCTCTGCTTACATGTCCGAAGCCAGCGCATGCACACATCTTTTGCAATATGACAGCAAAGATAAAAAAAGATTTCCTAACGATTGAGCTATTTTTCTGCCAACACCATTTATCTTTATTTTTCCTCTCGAATAATTGTAATTGTCGTTCCATCTGGAATCAGGCTACACAAGATACAGACAGTCATCGAAATATTTTATGATTTGAAAAACAGGGAAATTGTGTGTTCTTTCGTTGTTGTTTATTTATAATTAATATTAATAGGGAAGTTCTTTTCAAGAGTTTTCGTGTTCTTTGTTGCGTTTCTTGAACCTCTGCATAGTATTTTAATTAATTTCGCTTTTTTTCGTTCTCACCGGCATCATTTTTGATATTCTGGTGTTAGTGCTTTCTGCGCGGGTATTAATAGCAGGCATATTGAAATTGTTTGCCAGTGCTATTGGTTCGAAAGTTGAGATCTGTTGATCCAGCTTCTCCTTTAGTCCGCCCAATAGTGTTCGTCCAACACCTTGGACGTTCTTTTCAAGCATTCTCTTGAGAAGAAATTAAAATAATTTGAGCGCTGAAAATAGTTTTTGTGTGTTGTGTGATGTGTTTAATTGATTTACTGTTAATATCTCTTGATATTCTTCTCTTGTTTGTTTTTTTTCTATTTCCAGCTCGATTGGAACTGTGGGAGGATCTCGCACTACAGCAGGAAGAGGAGTACCTTCAACGGAGTTACTCCCTAAACATACAAGATTTCTTTTAAGTTTCAATTAAAACCTCTGAATTTAGTTTCAACTTTCCTTTTATCTCCTTTATCACTGCTGTGTGACATTGCTTTTCATTACTTAACCCTCTATTCCAAGCATTTTTCTTCTGCGGATGGTGCAGAGATGACGATTCATTTGAGCTTTTTTGATGGTTCGTGAACACGCGAGACAGGTAGAGATCATTTTGTTAAAGGATTTACTTCTCTCTGGCTTCTCGTTCGTTTTCATATTTGTTTCAACTCTATATGCTAATAGTTTGATGGTAATTCATGATCGGATCTTTAAGTATTTGCATATATATAACATCAAGAATCTGTCATCTAACTTTGCCGATTTCAAATTTATATAAACTTCTTTTTTTTAAAAATTATATTTTAATGACAGATTCTTGATGTTATATATATGCAAAAAATATGTAAATGGAATTCTCCATCACGCCGCCGCACGCTTTTATGCTAAAATACGTGATCGCGCGTAAAATATATCTCAACTTTTACATTTTTTTACTATAGCTTCCATCAATCTTAAATACATCATTTTGTTGAGCGTATGAAGTTAATGTTAGCCAAGATGAAAAGATCCATATGTCGCCGTTGTTGCAAAGAAATCAGTTTCAAAACCGGTACATTTTTTGAGAGTGAGATAGTGTTTACAGATAGATTCTTAGATATAATTTATTAAGAGAGCCACTTGTCGTATGTAACTTCAGTAGAACTCATTTATACTTGGTCGAAACAAAACTTAACATGGATCACTGCTAAGGAAGAAGTTGGAATTGGTTCGACTAAAACTTTTGTTGACTGGAGTAGCTTTCTTAGAGAAGTATGTACCTTTAAACTTTTGAGAGAGAAGAAATCAATTGGGGGTCCTGGATAAACGGTGGAAACTGATGAAACGTTAGTAGCTCGTAGAAAATATAACAAAGGTTGTCTTATAAATCAGATCTGGGTTTTTGGTTGGATTTGTAGAGAAACAACAGAGTGCTTCCTATACAGAGTCGATAATAGATCGGCAGAATAATTACAAGAGTGTATAAGATATGCGATTAAGGTAGGGAGTACGATTATTTCGAACTGTTGGCCAGCTTATTCTGGAATCGAGAGTATGGGACTAGGTTATAAACACCAAACGGTGAATCATTCTAAAAATTACGTTGATCCCGTAACTGGTGCACACACTAATAGAGTAGAAGGTATGTTGTCACAGGCCAAAGAAAGTTTGAGATGATGAATGGTGTGGCTAAAAGTATGGTAGAGAGTCATCTTTGTGAGTTCATGTATCGTCAAAGATTTAGAGATGAGGATATTTTCGATTGTGTTTTAAAAAAGTCTCCAAGTTTTATTAGAAAGATTTGAACAATAAACAATGCAATGACAACTCAAACTCACCAGAATACAATAGAGTTTGTGAACTTTGGAACTTTAGAATACCCATTCAATAATAGAAGAAAAAAAGCTTGAAATAGAGGGATAAATGTGAACTAAGGGAACCCTCGGTAATTTCCGAGGTCAGCATTCCCAGCCAATCGCCTCTGATATCGGCAACAGGATCAGGCTGATGTTTTGCCTTGAGATAGACTTAGCTATCAGTGTCTGAACATGTACATGTATAAAAAATTTGGTAAAACTTGCTTACCTGTGTAACACAGATTGTCCCCAATCTTTTCCATTGCCTTGTACAGCAAGAGTCTGGCATGGGCAGTGGTGTAGGCTGCGATAGCCACGTTTGTGAACGCAGCAGGTTTGAGGAAACATTCCTCGGGCCTCGACGAAATGAAACAAACGTCGTTCACAATTTTAAACCCTGTGAGTTCAATCGCAGGGTTTGTGATTATTTTGCCAATCTCTGGGTCTGAGATTGACAAAATTTTTGTTTCAATTTTGTCGGGCCTTTGGCCCATTTTTCCCCAAACACTAAATT